GAAGCCATCAGGACAAGAGAGCAGAGCAACGAGGTAAGAAGATGAGTCCCCTTGACTGTGGAGCCTCTACGTCAGCCTGCACGCTGTGGACACTTTCACAGGGAGAAACTGATCTTTACATTTTAAAGCCACTGTTGTTTTGTTTTTATCTCAGAAGCCAAATAGGTATCCTAACTAAGATCTGCTCAAAAATTTCCTTCCCTGACCTTGAAATTTCCAGCATTCACATTTTTGGATTAAGAAGATTTCTGGTAATCTAAAGAACTATGTATAAATGTCCTAATGACGTAGGAAGGACGTTAGGGTTTGAAGCTGACAGCCAAGAAAGAATTCTTGAGACGTCTTTGGTGCAAAAGAGGTGGTTTTTTATTAAAGTAGGGGGGAGGACCCTGCAGAAGGAGCTGCACTAGGGTCATGAGGAGTGGCTGGTTCTATAGTTTCAAATTGGGAGGGGGTTGAGGAGAGCGTAAAACTCTCAGGGATTTTGGAAATAAGGTTTCCAGGATCCCAAAGGGGCTAGTTATTATTACGAAAGGTCATTTATTATTGTTTAGTAAAAAGTCAGTCATGAGACCCTTCAGATGTATATCGATGGGTCAGATGCTTGGGGGATGACTGCCAGCATGTATCTTGGAGGGCAGAGATAAAGGAAGTTTCCAAAGGAATTTTTATATGTTAAGGTAGACTGGCAGGGTCCTGGGGATCGGACTGCCTCTTGCCCTTAGCAAAGTATCAACATCAAGGCAGTTGAGCCCCTAGAGGAATGTCACTCAGCCTGTTTCAAGGACTTGTCAATGGGCTGTAGGTAGTAAGGAAATTTAATAATCTCTCTTCTGCCTTTGTTTTCCACATCACCAATACCCCGAAGAAATCAAAAGGGACAGGCAAAAAGCTGATTTTAAATTAGCATTGTTTTTTTTTTTTTTTAAGCTGACTAGTTTGGATAAGCACATGGAAACCATCATACAATCCTTTTATTTAGTTTCCACATCTAAAGCAGGGTGCAGAAAATTGAAGAAGACAGAGACACCATGTAGACGATTCAAAGTAAACAAAAGGAGGTATATGATGGCATTGGATTGGCTTATTCAGTTGTAAATCTAGTGGTCAACTTAATACCATGATATCACACGAGGGATGGTGATGAATTGTCTCTCCCAGTACTGAAAGAAAACCATTTTAAACTGAAGCAAGAATGCCTGGGCAGTTTGTGGTGTTCTCTAAACCTATATTTTAATCATTTGAATTAGTTATTGAGGGAAATTGTGAAATCTTTCTCTGTAGATATTTAAAAACTGGATAGATTTTAATCTTCCAGAAGGTCATGTTAGAGTTTTGCCCTAGGAGGTCAGGCAGGAGGAATGAGGATGGACTAGAATGGACCTCAACAAAGTCCCTCACTCCAAGACGAGATGTCCTTCCAATGCATCTTCTCTTTCTCCCTTCCTCTCTCTTTCTAGAATGACACTAAATTACCTTGTGCTTAGCATTGAGAAGCAACAAGTTTTGTCGTTCTTTGCTTTTTTCCCCCCCAGGACCACATGGCTTCACCCATGTTTTTGATTCCATAACGTGCCAAAAATTGCAAAATTTAACTGTAGGAAATCCTGTGTGTGGATGTGTGTGTGCGCTTTTGTGCACACATGATGAGGAATAGAGGGATAGAGCTAGGAAAGGAGTGTCACAAGTTAGTCAGATGAAACTGACAGCCACACCATTCTTTTCAAACACACACACACACACACACACACACACACACACACACACACACACACACTTTGTGTTCTTAATGCAGGGTTAAGAAATCAAGTAGTGAATTCTGGGGAAGGGCCATATAATGGCATCAGGTTCCAGGCCTCAGTCCAGATACATTTTAGGCCTTCAAGCACACAATTCAAAATCCCGTCATCAAGTTTTATGTGTTTTGCTTATACTTTTGGTGAAAAGAGTGCTCTTTTTTAGGGAGATACGTTCAAAACAACAGAAAATCTTACTTATTAGGAGGTGATAAAAGCTGAACAAAAGTGGCGTACTTATCAGAAGGGACCTGCATATTATAGAAACACTGTGACCTCTTTCCACCTGCTGCCTACTTTCTCTCCCCCATGAGGAAGCGGCTTATCTCATAGGTGCATTTAAAAAAATCTGAGCATGCCCCATACTCTCCCCTCTGTTAGGATCTTTCTAACAGAGTGACTTCTTAGCTGCTCCTGGTCCAGTAAGCTTTGGGCTAAGAAGAGGGAGGTAGAAAATGTCCTATAATGTCCCATGTTGCCTATGACTGGGTGTGCTTACTGCAAGAGTAAAGTATTATCTAATCATCCTGGCTCTGATATAAAGCCACATTTTCCAGTGAGCATCTGTCAGAAATATAGCTGAGATTTTGATCTCTTACTTGACTTCTCTCTCTCTCCACACTGCTTGGCACACTGTAGAGGATTAGCAAATTATTTTTTAAATGGAGAATAAATGGATTGGAGTGGGCCAAATTGCTGACCTCCTACAACCCCAATTAAAGTTCTGAATTTGGGGCTCTATTTTTTTCAATATTTTATTTATTTATTTTAGAAAGAGAGAGAGAGAGAGCAGGGGAGCAGGGGGAGGGACAGAGAGAGAGGGGAAGAGAGAGAATCTCAAGCAGACTCCCTGCTGAGCACAGAGCCTGATGCAGGGCTCGATCCTAGGACCCGGAAATCATGACCTGAGCCGAAATCAAGAGTCAGATACTCAAATGACTGAGCCACCCAGGGGCCCCTGAGGCTCTCTTTATTTTTTTTTATTATTCATTCCATTAGTAAAAATGCTTCACACATGGATACACAATATGTGTATACCATTTATCTGTAAATGTCTACCATGTGCCTAATACCATGTACTAATATGTTATATACTTCACAGAGAAATTTAAAATGACATGAAAAAATGTAAATATAAGTTCCAGTACATTCTTCCTGGAGTGCTCAAAATAACCCCAGTGGATTATTTTGAGCACTCCACTCTGTAGCCTGCTGGTCTAGACTTTAAGTACCAGACAAGTACTGTAGGGACCCTGTTTCACATAGCCTTGCACTCCACCATGCACTACTTAATGGCACATGCTCAGGAAGTATGTGTTGAACTGAACTAGAAGGAGAAAGTGGATGAGTGTTTATTGAGCTAGAAGGAAAAAGGGAAGGGTATTCCAAGTGAGACTTCTCTTGGAACACTTTATTCCAAAAACAGACATCACAGAAATGGGATACAGGCTGGCTTTCATTAGACGCTGACTTCAGAACCAACATAATGTGAAGCAGTGGGAAATGAAGTTGGGTCTTGGAGGACAGAGAAAAGAGAGGAGGTGGCAGGTCACTCAGGCCATGAGGTCTAGGCAGAGATATCCATCTGCATCGCATTTCCTGCAGAACAAACTATGGAATGGCTAGCCTCTCTAAAGATGTGAACACCATCGTGTTTTATGTTTTATGAAGATCAGACTAGGGTTAGGATGCATAGCAGATTGAACAATATTTGCATTTGGTTGGAGCAGCTCTGAAGAGTCTAGAATGAGACCATGAGACTCTGGCTAGAGTGATAAAGGAGATCATGGTGAAGAAACTATGAAACAAATAGCCAATTAGAAGGAATATGATCAAGTCTTGGTAACCAATAAGAAATGAAGGAAGAAAGAGAAGAAACAAAATATGCCTAGAGATGTTCCCACCATTTGGAAAATGAACAACCTTAATTGATTTCTGGATATTTTCCTCTCTCTTGATTTGCTATGGTTCAGGAATCCGGACGTGAGTTGGTGCTTTTTTGTTCCTGTTTAAATGCCTGAAGCTCACCCTATAACCACAGGAGAAAATTCTGAAACAGGGAACAGAAACTAAATTTTCATGAGTCCAAGGTATTACTTTCTAAGTTTGTTGGAAGATACAGCCAAGAAATGGCACTCCGCCTTGAAGAAAAAGGAAACTCCACATTTGTGTGTATGCAGTTGACAACTGCTGGTTTCCCGCACATAAGCGAACAACGTTAGTCAACCACAAAGAGCTAGTGATAAGTTCATGACCTCTTCAGCCCCATTTTTCCTCTATGTGAACTCCACAGTATTGTAAGCTGTGGAGGTGAGCTCTGGGGTAATTCAGAGAGGTGGTAACAAAAAGGACAGAGGATAGAATAGACAACAATGCTGGAAGAAATGGAAACCAAGCTTTTTCATCAAATAGCTAGAATGCTGTGTGGACGGGTTGTATGACAAGCCTATGTCTATGCTATTTGTTTTTTGAAACCTGTGTGACTTATTCTGAAAGCAGACTCCTAAGACAGGAAGAAATGACCAAAAATTACATAAAGCTCACTTTCCAAATAGAGTTCTGCAGAAAATACAGCTGCCATCTGGCCTTCTGGCTAACTTCACTCCTTTCTTTTTCAGCAGATATTATTTAATCCAGACCACACAGTTTGTTCGTCTAGTTGGTTCATGAAAATTTCAGAACATGAATCTGTAGCAGGAATGTTTGGCAAGTGACAGGACATTAGCTGCCTGACATCAGGGCAGTTTCCTTGTCTCTGGTTAAGTAAGTCTCTCCCAGGCTCTGTTGTGCTTGGATGCCTTCAGCTATGAAGTCAAACTGATTATCCTTGTCACCTCTCAAACATGATGTCCGCAATGCACTTGGAGACAGGTACTGCTCTCACGTATATACTGCTGCTCTAAAATTAACTACAAAGACTTTAAAACCCGATGCTAGTTCACAGTTAACATTATGATGGTCTACTTGCATGTAAATGGACCTAGACCAAGTCACTGTACTTGGAATTTTGTGTGAAATGGAAATAAAGTTTCCCTGTCCTCATTATATAAAATACAACCTGTGCTTTAAAATTTAGCCAAGATGTATCAAAGTATGGAAAAAATAATTTGGTCTGGGTTGGCTTTTCAAACCCTGTTTAAACTAAGAAAAGAGGCATTAAAAAAAAATCACAACAGTTACATAGTGGCTTTTCTCTCTTTCCAGGTTTTTCGAAAGGCAGAAGTTGCTGGCCTCCATAACTGCCTACCAGTCTCCAAAGAAAGTGAGAGGGTGAGCCGAGATTTAGAGCCTATGAACTTCTGTCAGGTTCAGATAGGGAGAAGTCTTTGCATGTCACTGGGGGGTTGGCTTCATTTCTTAGTGGTCTCACTTAGCCAGCAATGCTAAAGGCTGCAGCAGAGCCCAAGTGTACGTAATCCTATAGATACTGCCATTGGGATGACCATCAGCAATAGCAGTAACCTATAAGTGAGGCAGATTAGAGAGGTAAATATATGTTCCCCAAAACCCTGCCATAAAATAAAAATGAATGGAACAAAAATTCAACATCTGTTAAGAATGCTGGAGGATGATGCTATAGTTTGAGAAAATATTTAGGTAGAACTTTACACAATTTTAGCCATAAACAAGATTCTAACAAATAATAATTCCATGATCTTTAAGGCTTTAGTAGATATTTACCACACTGCTCAGATTTTCATTTCCTATTTAAATCTAATTGATACCAAGTTTGTCATTGATTTGCATAATTCCATTTCCTTCACTATTTCTTCTTCAGAGTATGACATCATGGAGTCAGAGAATGGAAACTGTTTCTATACTTTGGGAGGAAAAAAAAGCAATGTTTGTGATAACCCAATTTTTTTCCCTCCTTCTAAGCTAAACACTTATAATTCTTAACACATGTTTTTTCTTGGAACCATTTTTACTTCTGGCTTTATGTAAAATGTGAGAATTTTCTATCTCAGAAAATGGCACCAGTTCATCTCTTATCATGTCCCCATTGTATGTTCATTGCCAGTGAGACAATCTGTTTAGAACTATCATTATTATTACTATAAATAGACCTGGAAAATGTGTTTTTCTGCATGTTTCATCATTTTCAGTTTCAGAACTGTGTTATTTAAGCCCTGATCAGAAGGTTAACACATGAAAATATCTAATGAACCTGGCTTTCTCGTATGGAATTCAAATATACTTTGTAGATACAAATAATACCCATTTGCCAAGAGTGTACTGACTTACTATACATAAGGAGTGCAAAACCACAGACGTAAAAATACTATTAGTGTTGGGATTAGGCCTGTTATTGAAAAGATATATTTCATGACTTTTATTAATTTTTTAATTAATAGTTACATAGCTATTTCCTAGTCAACTTGTAAAATCTTAACATTCAGGTTTTTAAGTATGTTTTATGGACACACACAACATTCTCAATCTCTAAAGCTCTCAAAATAAGGCCCAGTTATCTAATTTTCACCGTCTAGGCATAAGGATCTTATAAGATAGCAAAATATCGAGGTGAGAGATGGTTTGAGAGTCTGTGAATTGTACTGTTTCTTAGTCATCTGCAAACAGGTTTGCTCCACTATTTAAAAAGGCAGAGATGTGTGCACGTGTGTGAATATACAAAAACATAATGCATAAAAATACTGACACACACAATGGAATATGGAATGGAAGGAGAACTAAATTCAGAATTTAAATTTGCAGTTTTTAGTTCTGCTTCTAGCAGCTCAAATATTTCAAGTTCTCTGAGTCTGTCTCACCATTTGTAAAGCAGCTGAAGAACAAATGTGTGTGTGGAAATCTTTTGTAAACAGTAAGACAAAAAGCGCTAAACATACACAAGGGTTGTGTATGAGTATGGCCACTATAGCCTGCCCAATCTACCAAATGAAAGCGGTTTTCCTTGACTCTCTCAAAGGCAGCTAGAAAGAAAGAAAGAAAGAAAGAAAGAAAGAAAGAAAGAAAGAAAGAACGAACGAACTTGTAAGTTAAGACAAAGAAAGTAAATGGAATAAAAAGGAATCATGCCACATTAAAGAAAATACTGGGGAGTCCACTTGGTCCTCCCCAGCAGTGATCTCTGGGGCCAGGCTCAATTGTGCCTATTACACAGTTTCTTCTTCCACTTTTTTCTATAGAAACCACGCATTTTCCAGAACAGCCAAGTTTTTCCACAGGCAGTTTCCATGGCAGTGCTTGAAGTGGCCTGACACTGAGGGGGATGGGAGGGAGACGGGTGGAAGGGCAAAGAGGAGAAATGAAAGGGATCCTGAAAGGGGAGAGAGAAGGAGGAAGGGCGGCCTTTTATGTCCACTGGAAACTTGTTTGTCAAGTTCTTGTAAATCAGAGATTGTACGTATATCCAACCGTACTTTACTACAATTTTTTAAAAAGTCATTCAGAGTTGACATTTCCTAAATGTCATGTTTAGCTACAAAACACAACCCTGGCAAGACGTCAAAGGTACTGCCTTTGTTGCTAAAATCTGGTTTGTTCGGTCATAGCAAATAACTAACAAACTCAATTGAAAAGCATTTTCTTGTGTATCCCAGAAATCACTTTAAAATACATTTAAAGCTACTTGTATTTTCTACAAACTTTCCCTCAAAATGGGAAGAAAGGATATTAACAAGAATCCTTGGTGGGACACCTTGGGTGGGTCTATGGTTGAAGTCTGCCTTTGGCTCAGGGTGTGAACCTGGGGTCCTGGGATTGAGTCCCACATCGGGCTCCTCGCGGGGAGCCTGCTTCTCCCTCAGCCTGTGTCTCTCTGCCTCTCACTCGGTGTCTCTCATGAATAAATAAATAAAATCTTAACAAAACAAAACAAGAATCCTTGTCAATAATTAGCCTCCCACTTTGGTGAGGCCTCCAGAGGCAGGAGACCAAGGCACGTAAGCAAGATGGAAATGGCCAAATGTGGCTCATTACTAGAGCAGGTTACACTGCAGAAAACCTGCGGCTCCTTTTTAAGGGTCACAAGGCCAAGGCTAAAGTCATCTCCTTGCACAAAGGTGAGGAACATCAACATTCTTTTCTACTAAAGCACAAAGAGCCTTCACTAAAATTCGTGGTCTTGCCTAATGCATCTTTTCTTCTTTGGGATAAAAAACAGGGTCTGAGCTAATGATTCACATTGTTAAAATTATGGACACGGGCAAAGAATTACTCATGGTTAGCTAAGCTTAGATTTGTTCCAACATGCCTTCCTGAAGCGACTCCTCTCAAAAACAAACTCACTAGGCAAATGTTTAACTTCATTAAGCCTGTACTGACATCAAGAGGGTAGATTTCCGATGGACTGGGCCACACAAAGTGTGGGTCAGGCTTCTCTACCGAAGCCCTGCTTGGATATTTATGGGATGGATGTCCTCTTCTCACTAAAAAGAGGAGCAGAGTTCAGACAAGAAAATGTAAAAGCTGTAGTTTCCTACAATAGTGTGATGTATTTCTGGTTTAGGCTATAGCACAGTACTTGTAAAAGTCATTGCTTCCATAAGAGCTGATGATGTGTTTATTTCTCAAGAAATGTGTCTGATTAGCAAACACTTTCAGAATTATTTTTGTGGAGATAAACTAAGTCCGATGTGTGTGTGTGTGTGTGTGTGTGTGCACGCACACACGTGCATGCAATAGGGGAAATGGCAAGATAGAAGGTGTTTAGATTTAAAATCTGAACATTTAGGGTATCCCAACAACGGGGGGTAGGGGGTGGTAAAGGGTTGGAAGTGATTGAGGAAATCAAGGACCACAGCCATGTGCTCTCGTTTTCCCCTTTGGGGGCAGTGACTTCCTGTAAAAAATGAGAGGTTTATTTTCATAACAGCAGTGAGGAATCGCTAGGCAGATGTGTGTGGGTTGGTTCTGGCCCTCGATTAGCACACAGGAATGATACTGCCTTTACGTTTCACCAGATATATCCATTGAAGCACATACAAGGGGCCTCCACTTGAGTTGCACAAGTAGGATCCCAAATTTCATTGCAGTGATCCTGCCATTTGAGGAACATTTAAATGGGGCCAATTTTTTTTTTAATTTTTATTTATTTATGATAGTCACACAGAGAGAGAGAGGCAGAGACATAGGCAGAGGGAGAAGCAGGCTCCATGCACTGGGAGCCCGACGTGGGATTCGATCCCAGGTTTCCAGGATCGCGCCCTGGGCCAAAGGCAGGCGCCAAACTGCTGCACCACCCAGGGATCCCCTGGGGCCAAATTTCTATTGACAGAACCATTCTCAGATGTGGTTCATGAATTAAGTGAACTTTTTCTTCCCCTCCTCTGCTCCTCTAGGTTGAAAACTCTGAAATCAAGGTATTCGGAAAATGTTTCTGCATCTTGATCAAGGAGGAGGTCGTGATAGTCACCAGATGTAATTGTTACGGCGAAGCGGAGGATATGACCACAATTCCCTTCAGCAAACCAAGATGCTCCCAAGCCTTTTAAAGCATGTAGACGCTCTTGTCAAAGTAGCTGCACTTTCTGACAGCTAAAATCGGAATGTGGTTTTGAGCACACTGGAAAAAGCTCACTGTGCGTCTATGTTTGTGCATCAGTGTGGGTGTCTCCCTTCCCTCGCTTTTTCAGTTTCTTCCTCCTAGAAGCTGGTTAATCCTCTTGGAATGTAGCTCTTATCACCACCTAGAGGAATTCATTACCCTTTCACCCTCACTGCTCCCCAGGCCCAAGAGACTAAGGAACAAGAGGGCAATTGTCTGGGGAGCTGCCCCCTGAATTCAGGTGTGCTGGCACAGGGGTACCCATGGCCTGCCGATCTTGCCTATCATCAGGAAGGGGGAGAAATTAATCATGCTTCCCCCTCCAAGGAGTTGGAGGAAAAGAGCCTTCAGGGACAGAGGCTGAGGCCCCCTGCCATTAAATCCAGCTATTTTAAAGCCAAGGGTTTTTTTTTTTTACAAGGCCAGAGCAACTGATCAATAGACTGGTGGAGAAACTGGTTAAACCAGTTATTTGGGATGATGTTTAAGAGAGAGAAACACTGCTTGTTTGCCTTTATTTTTTGTTTAGCTTCTGCTGGTTATATAGTGGCTTCAAAATCAAAAGGGTTTGTATTTTATAGACAGCTTGCAAAACTCATCTTATGTCTTTAAGTGTATGCCCTTTTCCATCGTCCTTAAATTGCCAGTTTTGCTCGCACAAGGACACAAACTCAGAATACAAATGCAGCTGCTTCTCCTTTGGCTATTAACCATGAGGCACTGTCTCATTGGCGGGGTGCTAACAAAACCCAAGAGGTGGGACACAGAAAGACATCAGTCTCTGGTTCTTTCTTCAAGCACATACACATAAAACTTGAGATGTACCCAAACTGGAAAGGTGGCCAAACAGACTGGAGAAGAGATATAACAACATTCTCAGAATCCATTAAAGGATCGTAGGAAACAACCATTAATTGAACAATACTGAACCAGATCCACCCGCTTAAAGAACTATGTCAAGAGGCAGAGATTTACCACTGGGCCCTTCAGATATTTCTAGAATCCAGCACTTTCTGAATGAAGTCCACGGGGCTATCTCACGCTGAAGTCGACATTACCGTTAGCTACGTTTTCTCAAGGCTGAACAGTAGTTGTAGTAAAGCAAAAACTCAATTATAAACTCAATTTATAATCTCTCACTGGAGGAATGGGGGAGGGGGAAATGCCAAAATTTTTGGTCTCACCTTTCAGTTTAAGGTATGTAAATCAGTCATCAATTCTGAATACACTATTAGTGACTCCCTTCAGTAACAATTATGCATGTCAGTACCCAGGAATAATGTAGTATCAACTAAAATACATCAGGTGGTGGAAAAATTATACTGACAGGCTAATATATTTATTTGTTAATGGAGAATTTTAGTCCTTGCCAAAAGAGAATATGCACCATTCACTTAACTTTAATTTCTCAGGGTTTTGAAAAGCGTCTTGCCTTGAAATATTTTTACTGCAAACATGCTGTAGTCACAAAAATCCACTACCGTACGTTAACACTAAACACACGTTTGTTTTCCTGCATCCCTGATATGTGCACACGTGTGGGAAAGCCTTCTGCTGCTGGTTTATGCATTTAAAAAACACAAGCACTGAGAGAGAGGTTCAGCACTTCCTCCCTGCAAGTGCTCAGCTACAGAAGAACACGCAAATCCACCTCTCCCCCAGAGTTCTCATTGATTTCCATCCATTGATTTCAGAGTGGTGCATTTCATTTTCAGAACACTTTCATAAACATGATTGTGAGGTTAATTTTTGGTGATAACACAAAACCTGAATTTGTTATTTGGAAAGTTCTTGGTAGTGACTGGACATATGGTGTGTTCCTTGCTGGGGGTAATGCACACATCAGTACTGAGCGATTTTCTTAACCCATTCTCTGTAGCTGAAGGTCAAGATCCCCAATACCCAAATTATATTCATAATTATAATCATAATAAACTACAGTCATCCCTGGTCAGTCGCTACTCACTGGGCTTTAGATCCATATTAGAGCCTCGTACTAAGAGAGATGAAGTTTTGGACAACATATAGAAAGGGGGAGGGTACTGACATCCAGGAGGTAGGTAACAGATACGCTGATGTCTGCTTCTTTCCAAAACCTGCTAGTATTGTGAGAAAGAAACAAAAAAACCCAAAAGCCCAAAAGGACAACAAATGGGAGAGGAGACACAAGTGGCTGAGATGTGACACAAAAGTTTGGGAAGATGGAAAGCAAAGTAAAGAGCAGAATGGACTCTGCAGAGGTGGTCAGAGCTCAAGGACCCCGAGATAAGAATGTCCAGGAGAAGCCAGCCAGTTGGGGACCCCAAATGGCTGCCTTCTCCTCCAACCCCAAGAAGGTTCAGGAGGATAAGAGATCCACCCCACTCAGAGCAACCAGGCAACCACCCTCCCCAGCCCTCGGGACATGGGTTTATTCTCTAGAAAAATGGAATCCAAGGAGCAGGAGGCTTCAGGTATGATGGAGGGCTGTCTGTGGCACCAGGCTGGAAACAAGAGCCTTAGGAGGAAGTCGAGGCACTCACAGTGAGACCTCCAGCCCTCCAACTCACCAGCTTAGGAGGGTGGCTACTCTGAGAACTCCAGCAAGAGATGTGGCTTCAATTCATGGAAAAGAGAGTGACAATAGGAAGATCTACAAATGTTGACATTTGGGGAGGGGGTAGGTGGCTTCTAATAAACTGAATCTTCAGAAGGGAGTGAATTCCTATCCTTCAGTGGTTGGGTGAGACCAGCAACTGCCCCTTCAGAGGGCCATATATAGGGTGGTAGTGAGAAAGGGAATTTATATGGCTTATGGCAAGAGGAAGGAGAGATTTTGAGGATAACCAATAGTTATCCGGTGGTTACAGTCATTATTTCCCCTGACCTGGGTATCAGGAACCCTCGGCTTTAGGTCCTGCAATTGTCACTGACTCATCAACGTGACCTCTGAGTCACTTTTTCTTTCTAGGCTTCAGTCTCCCGTCCTTGGGTCCTGTTATGTTCAGATGCTCACTCTTCCCAGCAGGTCTCTGATGACAAACAGAAAGAATGTCAGGGGTCTTTAACGTGGTGCCATCTGCAGCCTGAAGTTTCAATGACTTCTTGAAATCCTTGCTGCTCCCACGGCAGATGGCTGCCATTCTTAGATGTGATGCAATGACCCCATCCTTCCAGAGAGGCTGTTTTCAACAAACCTGCATCCTAAGTAAGTAGAGGACAGAGCACCTACAAAATGCCAATATCAACTCTTCATTTTTCATATGACAAAGTAAAAGCATCATCAGGTGGAGCCAACCCAAACTCAACTTCTTCATTCTCACACTTTTTTTTTTTTCTGAATGAAACGCCAGAAAAGAGAAAAAAGCAAAAAACTCAACACCCCTCCCTCTTTTCAAGAGTCCTCTCTGAAAACAGAACAATAGTTAACATTTACTAAATACTTAGATAGGTCTGAGGCCCTGGCTAGAAGCTTCACTTGCCTTTTCTCATGAGATTCTGATGTACCCCCACTTTACAAATGAGGAAGTCGAGGCTCCAAGAGTTTGAGTGATCTACTGGCACATGTGGAGGGGCCAGGGTCAGAGCTAGATCTCCCTCTCACTGAACCCATACTCTGGTCCCAGATAGCCAGTCTCCCAGCAGGCGAGCCTTCTGCAGTCCACTCTCCAATGACATTTCCTGTGGCTTCAAAGGATTGACATGATCAGCCCTTCTGCTGAAAAGCTACAAGGCACTCTGAAAAATCAATACTGGCTTCTGCAAGAAGCAGCCTTGCCCAAAGCTAATTGAAAGCCATCTGAACATTTTCAGAACTGTGGCCATAATCATCTGTCTTGTTGCATACCATGTCCCAACAGTAAATCACTTGAAAATCACTTCTGCATGTTCACTCATACAAAATAGAAGCCCACAATATTTTTTTGTCATTGCCCTGTAGCTCCTCCATCTAAACTCAGAGCACTGGTATTATGGTAACATAATAGGAAGCTTGCTGACATTACTGTTTTAAAGTACCACTTTTTCAGGGTTTATCACAAGTCATTTTAAATTCCATTTAGCTCTAACTAGTTATACAACTTTATGTTTGGAAACAATGTCCTCTGCTGCATCAACAAGCTATACTGGAAAATACAGTTGTTTGGGGTTTAAAAACATTTTTCAGCAAACTGATTCTACCCTTTCAGAGGGTCAAATATAGGATGGTAATGAGAGCGGGAAATTGTATGGCTTATTGCAAGACATTAATCTAAAAAATTAAAGACAGATATTTTGATATCTAATCTGGATTAATGGTGTGGCCTTGAGACTTCAATTTCATTCACCATAAATGAATCCAGTGACCAAATCATTGTGTACTGTAACTTTGCAAACCAAGTTTACCTCATTACTGGAGACTATAATAACTCGGAGAAGAAACTGGCAAACTTGGTAGGGTGGATATTTGTGCCACCAGCATCTATCCACATTCCGGTATCTAACCACTCCCACAGCTGCTCTATTCTGCTTTAGAGGACTCAGTAAAGCTACATCCAAAAGGGGTCTGGGGGTGAGATAATATGACCCAGGATGAACCCATCAGCACATCATCATCCTAAGTGCCTCAGTCATGGCTTTGATGCAACCTCAATGGGCAATCGGGCCAAAGAGAAGCAAATCTGGAACTTTGAGTTATTAGAAAACTCAGACTTTCTCTTTGCTAGGTTTGCATGAAGACAGTGGTGGGACTAAAGCTGCCTTAGCCATCTTGTGAACATGTGGAGCTCAGAGAAGAGCTAACATAGAGGAATGTAGAGGAAGCAGAGTCAAGGAATGCACAGCCCAGGCAACTGTTGCTGTAGAGGTTTCCTGGAAGTCCTGTCTAAAGATTTCTCTGTTGGCCACCCCTACCTGCAGGAGGCAGTCTTCTGGCTGGGCACACTGGCTCCTTGAATAAAGTCAGGTTGTATAACTAAGGAAGGAAGAAAGAATGGGTATTGAGTGAGCAGTTTCCAGTCTCTTCTGTGGCCTGTTTAGGTTGGGGTTTCTGTGCTTACTACAGAAAACAGATACCGGGATCCCTGGGTGGCGCAGCGGTTTGGCGCCTGCCTTTGGCCCAGGGCGCGATCCCGGAGACCCGGGATCGAATCCCATGTCGGGCTCCCGGTGCATGGAGCCTGCTTCTCCCTCTGCCTGTGTCTCTGCCTCTCTCTCTCTCTCGGTATGACTATCATAAATTAAAAAAAAAAAAAAAAAAAAAAAGAAAAGAAAACAGATACCTTTATAGGTTAAGGAGATGTTACATATTTCAGAGTCTACAAATTAGATATCAAACTAAAACACCCAAGTAAAATCTCTGATTTGTAAATCTTTCATTAGATTAACCTGATTTTTCTTTTACAGTAGATTCATCTGAAATTGTTACTCAATTTTAAAATATGCTATCTAC